CCTGCTGCGGTGCCTCGGGGCGGTGAGGGGCGCAGAGCCCGTGGCCTAGGACTGGGCTGGGCCACCAGCTCTCCAGGCCCCAATGAAGAGGAGAGTTCCCAGGGGGCTGGCTTGGAGGAACCGGTGGGGGTGGAGGAGACATGGGCAAGAAAAGAAACTTCCCTTCTCCGTGAGGGTCTGGGAAGCCCCCTCCCTCCACCCACCTCCCCCACACTGAGCCTCGGAGCCGCACCGGAGCTTCTGTAATTTGATGCCCCGCAGCCGGGGGAGCCCGCGGAGCCCAGGCGGCCGAAGAAGGCCGGGGCTGGCGGGGCTCACCGCCCGCCCTCTCTCCTCGCTCTCCGCCCCTTTCTCCTCCCAACTCAGCTCTGCTCTGGGAGCCAGCCCTACGGGATCCCGAGCAGCGCGGCCGCTGGATTTTGAGGGGAAGGAGGCGGGGGAGAGAGATGACGCGAGCAGACGTGGCCTGCGTGGGGGCCGGGCCGTGTGCTGCAGGCCATCTGCCCGCCCCGCTGGACCCAGGAGCCTGCGCTTTGGGTGGGGGCCTCAAAGGCCGGATCACAGCTCCCACAAAGTACGCTGACCGGCCCCCCTCCGTTTCTCGCTTTCTTAGGGAGGGACGTTAGGAGTTGGTAGAGCTTCCTTTATTCAGCCCCTCCCCCCCCCCCATTCTACAGCACGTCTGTAGTGGGGATGTGGGCTGGCAGGTGGGAGGGGCGGCGGACAGATGGCTGATGGTAAATGGGACATTTTCTTCTCCCAACACCACCTCCTCTGCTTTGTAACTGACGTAGTTAGTTCCTTGTGTGAACCTCCGAGTCTTTCCCTAGAGAGACGAGTGCAGATCTGAGCGTCATCCCAGGCCAGGGGTCCTGTTCTCCATCACCCCCATCCTACCCTGATGCTGACGGGTCGTTAATTGCTGTTTACTATTAGGTTTCGTGTCAACCCTTGGCTTGTAGAGAGAAAGGGCCAAGCAGAGGCCGCGAATTGATGCATTCTTAGGCGAAAAAAATCCAGAGGGCATCCGGGACGCTTTGCAGCCACTGATGTATAAGTTTTTACTCTGACCATGTTTGCCTCACCAGAGCCCGACAGATAAAAATTATCTGAGGCGTGGATGTGGGGGTCCCACGCCCCTCTAGCTTCCCCTTCCCGGCTAGAAGAAGGAAGTTTTGCTTAAGGCAGGCACATTTCAAAGGTGTTAGTGAACCTTTCAGGTTTCTGCGTTCTGTTCTCCACATACAGAGGTTTCCCCAAAACCTGTCCCCCCAGAAGGGCGGACATTTGACTATGGACTCCCTTCAGTAGCAAAGAAACATTTCCCCTAAACATTTCCTTTGGGAAAGGTATTTTCATGTGGCCTTTGACCCATCCCCAATCGCCGTTAAGAGGGCGCTCAGGCAGGCGAAGTCACTCCTGCCCCATTTCAGCACCAGGGGAAAGTCATCCTGGAGGAGGGACTAGGCAAGGCGGCCCTCCTGGAGGAGGCTTCCTTGGTAGCGCCAAGGCCTCCAGCGCTGGGGAGGGAAGGGGCTCCGGTGGGGGAGGAGGCGGGACTGAGGGGGGTTGTGCTGGCTTTGCGCGGGTGATCTGCTCTCCCAGCCGAAGCTCCAAGCTCGTGGGTACCTTCTGCCCCTTGGCCTCCTCTCTGCGCCTTTGCTGGCCTCCAAGGCCCCGGGTTGACGCGACCCCCTGGGCCGCAGGGCTTGTGCCACAAAGCCATCCCGGGACACCACCGGTCTCCTTCTTCTGCGAGCTCTCTGCTCCACGCCCCTCTCTCCCTCCCTGCGCGGCACTTCGCAGGGCCAGCAGGGGTGGGTGCATGTCTTGGCACCGCAGGCTGGCACTGG